CAGGTAACTGATGCAAGCAGTAGAATCAGATTTTAAAAAAAGAAGGTAAAAATACACCTTGTGGAAGAGCGGGGACTGTGAAGAGACACATACAAAGGTACAGACACATGCATACGCACACATTGTGATATTGTTGTATGGTGGTATTAAACATTTTGTATTGTAGATAGGTAGTGGTGTAATACTGTCATATGATGTACTGTTTTATATTTTGTTTTATATGTAATGTAAGTGCTTTAATATGTTTGGACCCCAGGATCCCTAATAAATACAAATAAAAACTATAGAATGCAGTGCAACATGGATCTACTGAAAAACAAACATGTTCTCACTTGAGATGACGTCAACAAATTCACAGAATTACATTTCTGTTTTTGTATCTGCTGTTATATCCTCCTGGAATATCCAAAAGGAATTCCTTAACAATATTACTGCTTACTGAACATACTTAATAAATACTGAATACATTACATTTCCACTGTGGATCAACAAAGTATTATTCTATTCAAACAATAAAGTTATTTATATATATATATATATATATATATATATATATATATATATATATATATATATATATATATATATATATATTGATTGATTTCAATGCACATGGTTGTCTTGCTCCTCCAGGTAGTGGGAACCGGCATGCTGGTGCTGTGTATCCTGGCCATCATCGATGGGAAGAACATCGGCGCCCCTAGGGGCATGGAGCCACTGTGCATCGGCCTGGTCATCATGGCTATCGGGGTGTCCATGGGGCTGAACTGTGGGTATCCCCTCAACCCTGCCAGGGACCTGGGGCCACGGGTCTTCACTGCTGTAGCAGGCTGGGGCTGGGAGGTGTTCAGGTAACTTGTATAGAAGCGTTCAGGTAGCTTGTATAGAAGTGTTCAGGTAGCTCGTATAGAAGCGTTCAGGTAGCTCGTATAGAAGTGTTCAGGTAGCTCGTATAGAAGTGTTCAGGTAGCTCGTATAGAAGTGTTCAGGTAGCTCGTATAGAAGTGTTCAGGTAGCTTGTATAGAAGTGTTCAGGTAGCTCGTATAGAAGCGTTCAGGTAGCTCGTATAGAAGTGTTCAGGTAGCTCGTATAGAAGTGTTCAGGTACCTCGTATAGAAGTGTTCAGGTAGCTCGTATAGAAGTGTTCAGGTAGCTCGTATAGAAGTGTTCAGGTAGCTCGTATAGAAGCGTTCAGGTAACTTGTATAGACGTGTTCAGGTAGCTCGTATAGAAGCGTTCAGGTAACTTGTATAGAAGCGTTCAGGTAGCTTGTATAGAAGTGTTCAGGTAACTCGAATAGACGCGTTCAGGTAAGTTCTCCTCCAGTACCCCCAGTTCACTTATTGGATCATTCTAAAACTAGCTTGATGATTAGTTGACCATTTCAATCAGATCGTCCTTTGATCGTCTCTTATTGATAGTCCGCCCTGTGTTGATTGATGTGTTACGTCACCTCACATGCATAGCAACACATCACACCACAACACCTCACATGCATAGCAACACATCACACCACAACACCTCACATGCATAGCAACACATCACAACACCTCACATGCATAGCAACACATCACACCACAACACCTCACATGCATAGCAACACATCACACCTCACATGCATAGCAACACATCACACCACAACACCTCACATGCATAGCAACACATCACACCACAACACCTCACATGCATAGCAACACATCACACCACAACACCTCACATGCATAGCAACACATCACACCACAACACCTCACATGCATAGCAACACATCACACCTCACATGCATAGCAACACATCACACCTCACATGCATAGCAACACATCACACCACAACACCTCACATGCACAGCAACACATCACACCTCACCTCACATGCATAGCAACACATCACACCACACCTCACATGCACAGCAACACATCACACCACAACACCTCACCTCACATGCATAGCAACACATCACACCACCTCACCTCACATGCATAGCAACACATCACACCACACCTCACATGCATAGCAACACATCACACCACACCTCACATGCACAGCAACACATCACACCACACCTCACATGCATAGCAACACATCACACCACAACACCTCACATGCACAGCAACACATCACACCACACCTCACATGCATAGCAACACATCACACCACACCTCACATGCATAGCAACACATCACACCACACCTCACCTCACATGCACAGCAACACATCACACCACACCCTCACATGCACAGCAACACTCACACCCACACCTCACATGCATAGCAACACATCACACCACAACACCTCACATGCACAGCAACACATCACACCACACCTCACATGCATAGCAACACATCACACCACACCTCACATGCATAGCAACACATCACACCACACCTCACCTCACAGGCATAGCAACACATCAAACACTCATCCATCCCCAAAATCAAACATCCCCTGGTAACCAAAACACCTCTCACTACATGCAAGCACACATCAACCCAACACTCACATGCATGGGAAACACATAAAACCCTACACCTCACATAACATGCATGCACACATCAAACCACACACCTCAAAGCATGCCAAAGGCAACACTAACCACACCTCACATGCACGCAACACTCCCCCCCCCCCCATGCATAGAACACATCAACCCACACTCACATACGCAAACACATCACCCACACCCCTGCATAGCAAACATCAACCAACATGCAGCAACACATACACCACACCACCTACTGCAGCACACATCACCACCCAACCTAACATGCAAAACACATCACACCACACTCCCATCATAGCAAACTCAAACCACAAACACCTCACTCAAGCACACACCCACAAAACCAACATGCATGCAACACACACACCCCACAACCTCACAATCAACACAAAACACCAATCACACTCAACAACACATCCACCCACCCCTCACAGCACAAAACACATCACCACACCGTCACATTCAAGCAACAACAACACCACAAACCCACATGCCCAGCAACACATCACACACACCCACATCATACACACATCACACCACACCTCCACACAACACCACATCCCACCACCCTCACCCACTGCAAGCAACCAACACACCACACCTCACATCCCAAGCAACACACAAAACCAAACCAACACCCCACCTACAGCACAACCCAACCACCACCTCCATGGATGCAACACATCAAAAACCCACCTCCCCATAAATCCCAATAGCACAATCACCAAAACAAACCCACATCAATACAACACATCACACCACAACCCTCACATTGCATAGAAAACACATCAAACCACAACACCTCCATACATGCATAGCAACACATCAAACCACAACCAACCCCAAACATCATAGCAACACATCAAACCACACACACCTCAACAGCATAGCACACTAAAACCACACACCTCACTAAATGCATAGCAACCACATCAAACCACAACCCCCCATACATTAGCAACACATAAAACCCCCACACCTCACATAACATGCATAGCAAAAAACACCCAAACCACTACACCTCACATGGATAGCAACACATCAAACCACTACACCTCACATAACATGCATACAACACATCAAACCACAACCCCTCACATGCATAGCAACACATCAAAACCACACAACCCTCACATGCATAGAAACACATCAAACCACAAACCCCCTCACATGCATAGCAACACATAACACCAAAAACACCTCACATGCATAGCAACACATCAAACCACAACACCTCACATGCATAGCAACACATCACCAACCTCACATGCATAGCAACACATCACACCACAAAAACCTCACATGCATAGCAAACACAAAACCTCACATCATGCCACAACACCACACATGATAGCAACACATCACAACCACAACACCTCACATCATAGAACACAAACACAAAACACATGCCAACACTCACACACACACCTCACTTTGCATAGCAACACATCACCACCCACATGCATAGCAACACATCAAAACCACAACACTCACATTCACACAAACACATCACACCTCCACCTTCACATGAAATCGCAACACATCACCACCACACCTCCACTTTCACAGCACAAACAAAATCACACCACAACACCTCACCCTAAACATGCATCAACACATCAGACCACCACACCTCACATGCATAGCAACACATCACACCTCACCTCCATCACACAACAACATCACCACCCCCTCACATGCAACAACACATCACACCAAAACCCATCACATGCAACACATCACAACCACACCTCACATGCATAGAAACACATCACACCACAAACACCTCACATCACAGCAACACATCACACCACACCTCACATGAAATAGCAACACATCACACCACACCTCACATGCCTAGCACACATCACACCACACCTCACCTCACAGCACAGCAACACACACACCACACCTCACTGCACAGCAACACATCCACCACACCTCACATGCATAGCACACATCACCCCCACAACCCTCACATGCACAGCAACACATCACACCACACCTCACATCATAGCAACACATCAACCCACACCTCACAGCATAGCAACACATCACACCACACCTCACCTCTCACATCCCACAGCAACCTCACACCACACCTCACATGCACAGCAACATCACACCAACCTCACCTCACAATGCACACAACACACCACACCAAAAACACCTCACATGCACAGCAACACATCACACCACACCTCACATGCATAGCAACACATCACACCACACCTCACATGCATAGCAAAAAAATCACACCAACACCTCACATGCACAGAAAACACATCACACCACACCTCACTGCCAGCAACACATCACACCACAACACCTCACTGCTCCAACCACTCACACCAACCTCACTGCATAGCAACACACATCACACCACACATGCATAGCAACACATCACAACCCACACTCACCTCACATGCACAGAACACATCACACCACACCTCACATGCACAGCACACATCACACCACACCTCACATCCCATAACAACACATCACACACCCACAACACCTCACATGCACAGCAACACATCACCCCCACACCTCACATGCATAGCAAACACAATCACACCAAAAACCTCACATCAAGCAAACACATCACACCACACCTCCCCTCACAGCAACAGCAAACCACATCAAAAACCACACCTCACATGCACAGCAAACATCACACCACACCTCATCTACATGCATAGCAACACATCACACCAAAACCTCACATGCACAGAAACACATCACCCCACAACAACCTCACATGCATAGCAACACATCAAACCACAAACCTCACATGCATAGCAACACATCAAAACCAAAACCACACCTCACATGCATAGCAACACATCCCCCACAAACACCTCACATGCATAGCAAACATCACACCTACTGCATAGCAACCCCACACCACAAACACCTCCCCATCATAGCAAAACATCAAAACCACAACACCTCACATGCATAGCAACACATCACACCAAACACCTCACATGCATACAACACATCACACCACAACACCTCACATGCATAGCAACACATCACACCTCACATGCATAGCAACAACATCACACCAAAAACACCTCACATGCACAGCAAACCATCCCCACCCCACCCTCACATGCATAGCAACACATCACACCACACCTCACTGCACAGCAACACATCACCCACAACACCTCCTCACATGCATAGCACACATCAGCCCAACCACACCTCACATGCATAGCAAACCCATCACACCTCCCCCTCACATTCACAGCAAACATTCACACCCACACCTCACATGCATACACCCCTCACACCACACCTCACATTCACAGGCAAACACATCAAACCCACACCCCATTCACAGCTAACAAAACATCACACACAACACCTAAACATGCATACAACAATTCAAACCCACTACACCTCACATGGATAGCAAAACATCAAACCATACAACCCTCACAAACATGCCATAGCAACACATCAAACCACAACACCTCACAGCATAGAAACAACATCACACCACAACACTCACATGCATAGCAACACATCAAACCACAACACCTCACATGCATAGCAACACATCACACCACAACACCTCACATGCATACCCAACACATAAAACCACAACACCTCACATGCATAAAAACACATCACACCTACACATGCCTGCAACACATCACACCCCAAAACCCTCACATGCATAGCAACACATCACCCAACAACACCTCAATGCATAGCAACACATCACACCACAACACCTCACATGCTTTAGCAACATCCACCACAACCCCCTCACATGCTGCAACACACCCACACCTCACCATGCATAGCAACCATCACACCACAACACCTCCCCTGCCCCGCAACACATCCACCTCACTCACAGTGCATAGCAACACATCACACCACCACCTCACATGCACAGCAACCACATCACCCACACACCTCACCTCACATGTCGCAACACACAACCACCACACCTCACATGCATGCAAACAACTCACACCCCCTACACCATCACATGCACAGCAACACATCACAGCCACACCTTCACCATGCATAGCAACAATCACACCACACCTCACCTGCACACAACACATCACACCACACCTCACATGCATAGCACACACAGACACACCACACACACCTCACATGCACAGCAACACATCACACCACACCTCACATGCATAGCAACACATCACACCACACCTCACATGCATAGCAACACATCACACCACACCTCACCTCACATGCACAGCAACACATCACACCACACCTCACATGCACAGCAACACATCACACCACACCTCACATGCATAGCAACACATCACACCACAACACCTCACATGCACGCAACACAACTCACACACCAACACTCAATGCATAGCAACACATCACACCACCACCTCACATGCATAGCAAACACATCACACCACACCTCACTGCATCATGCACAGCACACACTCACACCACACTCACATAGCAACACATCAACACACACACCACACCATCACCAAACAACACCCACACCTCACAGCACACAACACATCACACCACACACATGCACAGCAACCATCACACCACACCTCACATGCATAGCAACACATCACACCACACCTACACATGCATAGCAACACATCACACCAACACCTCACATGCAAGCAACAACTCACACCACACCTCACATGCATAGCAACACATCACACACACACCTCACATGCATAGCACACATCACACCACTACAACCTCACAACATGCCTAGCAAACACAATCACACACAACACCTCACATGCATAGCAACACATCAAACCACTGCAACATCACATAACATGCATAGCAAACACATCAAACACTACACCTCCACATAACATGCATAGCAACACATCAAACCACAACAACCTCACATGCCACAGCAACCACATCACAACACACCTCACCTCACATGCATAGCAACACATCAAACCACTACACATCACATAACATGCCCATAGCAACACATAAAACACAAAAACCTCAACATAAACATGCATAGCAACACATCAAACCACAACACCCACATAAATGCATAGCAAACATCAAACCACTACATTCACATGACATAGCACACATCACAACACCTACAGAACATGCATGCACACATCACACCACAACACCTACCATAAAATGCATTAGCAAAATCAAACCACAACACCTCACATAACATGCATAGCAACAAATCAAAACAATACACCTCAAAGAAACATGCAATAGCAAACATCAACCACAACCCCTCACATGCATAGCAAAACACATCACCACCACACACCTCACATGCAAGCCACACATCAAACCACAACACCTCCATGCAAGCAAACACATCAACCCCCTACACCTAAATAACTGCATAGCACCCACATCAACTACCACAACCCCTCACATGCATAGCAACACATCACACCACAGCACCTCACATGCATAGCAACACATCAAACCAACAACACCTCACATGCATAGCAACACATCAAACCACACACACTCACATAACATGCACAGCAACACATCAAACCACACAACCTCACATGCATAGCAACACATCCACACCACACACCTCACATGCATAGCAACACATCAAACCACAAACCTCACATAACATGCATAGCAACACATCAAACCACTACACCATCACATGGATTAGCAAACACTCAAACCACTACACCTCACAAACATGCATAGCAACACATCAAACCACAACACCTCACATGCATAGCAACACATCACACCACACCTCACATGCATAGCAACACATCACACCACAACACTCACAGCCACATAGCAAACACATCAAACCACAACACCTCACATGCATAGCAACACATCAAACACCACACCCTCACATAACATGCATAGCAACACATCAAAACCACAACACCTCACATGCATAGCAACACATCACCCACAACACCTCACATGCTAGCAACACATCAAACCACAACACCTCACATGCATAGCAACACATCAAACCACTACACCTCACATAACATGCATAGCAACACATCAAACCACAACACCTCACATGCATAGCAACACATCACACCACAGCACCTCACATGCATAGCAACACATCAAACCACAACACCTCACATGCATAGCAACACATCAAACCACTACACCTCACATAACATGCATAGCAACACATCAAACCACAACACCTCACATGCATAGCAACACATCACACCACAACACCTCACATGCATAGCAACACATCAAACCACAACACCTCACATAACATGCATAGCAACACATCAAACCACTACACCTCACATGGATAGCAACACATCAAACCACTACACCTCACATAACATGCATAGCAACACATCAAACCACAACACCTCACATGCATAGCAACACATCACACCACAACACCTCACATGCATAGCAACACATCAAACCACAACACCTCACATGCATAGCAACACATCAAACCACTACAACCTCACATACCATGCATAGCAAAACACATCAACCACAACACCTCACATGCATTAGCAACACATTCAAACCACAACACCTCACATAACATGGCATAGCAACACATCAAACCCACTACACCTCACATGGATAGCCAACACATCAAAACCACTACAACCTCACAATAACATGCCATTAGCAACCACATCAAACCACAACACCTCACATGCATAGCAACCACCATCACCACCACAAACACCCTCACATGCATAAGCAAAAAAACCCCACATCAAACCACAACCACCTCACATTGCATAGCAACACATCCACACCACAAACACCTCACATTGCCATAGCAAACACATCAACCAACAACACCTCACATGCATAGCAACACATCACACCACAACACCTCACATGCATAACAACACATCAAACCACAACACCTCACATAACATCACATCACACCACAACACCTCACATAACATGCATAGCAACACATCAAACCACTACACCTCACATGCATAGCAACACATCAAACCACTACACCTCACATAACATGCATAGCAACACATCACATCACACCACCTCAGGGGGCAGTCTACGTGGTGGTAGGTAAACCCCAGAAAGGACTGAAGTGTGTGTGTGTGTGTATCTCTCTGAGTGTTGTGTGTATCTCTCTGTGTGTGTGTGTGTGTATCTCTGTGCAGCACGGCAGACTACTGGTGGTGGGTCCCCGTGGCGGGGCCGATGCTAGGGGGCGTTGTCGGGGCCCTGGTCTACTTCCTGTTTATCGAGATGCATCACAAACAGCCGGAGAAACCCCACAAGGAGGAAGAGGAGGATGAGGAAGAGGAGGATGAAGACCTGGAGGAGGACAGCAGTCTCAAAGACAAATACGAGATGATTACCATGAGTTAGAGAGATCCATTCAGTTACAAGGGCTATAAAAACAAATGGCTGGGTCAGATCACTGGTACTGTAACGTCAATCAGGAGAGTAATGCCATGTGGGGAGACACACACACACACACACACACACATACACACATACACACAGATCAAGGACAGGCTTGCTCTCTCAGTGTGCTATGGTGAAACCCTGTGGTAGAGTGAGTTGAAGGGTTATAGCCTTTTATTACATGTCATAGCCTTTAGTAACGAGACCTGTTTGCTACGTATGAGTGACTGATCACAGTGCAAGGCCTTTTAGCCCGCTGCTGATAGGGGCTCCGATAGTTAAGCTACACGGAGAAACAGTGTAGAACAGGTTATTGAATAGATGTCGTCTGGAGAAACAGTGTAGAACAGGTTATTGAATAGATGTCGTCTGGAGAAACAGTGTAGAACAGGTTATTGAATAGATGTCGTCTGGAGAAACAGTGTAGAACAGGTTATTGAATAGATGTCGTCTGGAGAAACACTATAGAACAGGTTATTGAATAGTTGTCGTCTGGAGAAACACTATAGAACAGGTTATTGAATAGATGTCGTCTGGAGAAACAGTGTAGAACAGGTTATTGAATAGATGTCGTCTGGAGAAACACTATAGAACAGGTTATTGAATAGTTGTCGTCTGGAGAAACACTATAGAACAGGTTATTGAATAGATGTCGTCTGGAGAAACAGTGTAGAACAGGTTATTGAATAGATGTCGTCTGGAGAAACAGTGTAGAACAAGTTATTGAATAGATGTCGTCTGGAGAAACAGTGTAGAACAGGTTATTGAATAGATGTCGTCTGGAGAAACACTATAGAACAGGTTATTGAATAGTTGTCGTCTGGAGAAACACTATAGAACAGGTTATTGAATAGATGTCGTCTGGAGAAACAGTGTAGAACAGGTTATTGAATAGATGTCGTCTGGAGAAACACTATAGAACAGGTTATTGAATAGTTGTCGTCTGGAGAAACACTATAGAACAGGTTATTGAATAGATGTCGTCTGGAGAAACAGTGTAGAACAGGTTATTGAATAGTTGTCGTCTGGAGAAACACTATAGAACAGGTTATTGAATAGTTGTCCTCTGGAGAAACACTATAGAACAGGTTATTGAATAGATGTCGTCTGGAGAAACAGTGTAGAACAGGTTATTGAATAGTTGTCGTCTGGAGAAACAGTGTAGAACAGGTTATTGAATAGATGTCGTCTGGAGAAACAGTGTAGAACAGGTTATTGAATAGATGTCGTCTGGAGAAACAGTGTAGAACAGGTTATTGAATAGTTGTCGTCTGGAGAAACAGTGTAGAACAGGTTATTGAATAGATGTCGTCTGGAGAAACACTGAACAGGTTATTGAATAGTAGCCCACGGTTCATCCAGTAACTTGTTTCTAGCTAAAGATACAGAATGGTTAGTTCTTAATGATGTGTTATACAGTGTGCAGCAATCCGTAACAAGATTGGAAAAGAGCCCTTGTTATATTATGTATGTAATATTCCATTTGGACTATACCGCTGTCAGTTTGATATAAATTATAATTTGTTTAAAATAAGAGGTTCATGCAAACAATTAACCCAGGCACATATTATGTTATTTGGTTGTTGTAGTAATGTTTGTAGCTTCAAGAGGCTTAGATTGATCACAATTCTGACCATACACTTCATACTCTGCACATTGAAAGATACCATTTATGTATTCAAGGAAAACTGGAGAAATTCCAAAACCTAACGACTGTTAGGATTTACAATTCATGAATTGCATGTATGGCGGTTAAAAAGTTTGTCGCCATTGTATAATTAAGCAATAAGGCCCGAGGGGGTGTGGTATATGGGCAATATACCACGGCTAAGGGCTGTTCTTAAGCACGATGCAACGCGGAGTGCCTGGATACAGCCCTTAGCCGTGGTATATTGGCCATATACCACAAACCCCCGAGGTGCCTTATTGCTATTATAAACTGGTTACCAACGTAATTAGAACAGTAAAAATAAATGTTTTGTCATACCTGTGGTATACGGTCTGATATACCACGGCTGTCAGCCAATCAGCATTCAGGGCTGGAACCACCCAGTTTATAATATGATATTATTGTCTGTTTACTTGTGCTTTCGTTCTGTTTTTCATTTTGTATTGTTGTCTTGTAAATACAATCCAGACTACTTCAACGTAACAAATATATTCCTGTCTGTGTAAACAAATATTGTTACTTGGTTTGCATGATAAAAAAATAAAATAAAATATGTCTTGTTTTTTATTAGAGTTATCATCTTTGGGCATTGACACGACAACAACCACAGGAGTTAAACAGATATGGAACCAGGCTCAGCGCAAAGCACACACTGATAAGTTTGTTGGTGGACAACTCGTTGCTTAGTTGCATGACGCCATCGCGTTTGGCCATTCATTTAACTAGGGAGACTCACAAAGGCTTCTGTTCTGCAATGTGAGTGAATAAAAACCACCAATGACTGGCTGCTTTTAACGCAACTGCAAATAAATAGGATATTATTCAAAAGACCACCGTGACAAGTGGTGAGTAAGAATTGCAATTTGTGAAGCCATTGAATCATAAAGGCTTGTATCACTGTATCATGCAATTAATGTATCTAGCTCTCCATTGCATCCCTTTGTTCATAGATTGACTAGAGGAACGTCTGGGTTTGACCTGAGCATCACAAGTCAAAGCTGCACCTGGAAGCTCCTCAGCTCCACAACAGAACAATGAGAGTCCTCAATCTCGAACACAGCATTCCCAAGACAAAACACTTTCTTGCTGTAAGAGGGCCTTCCTGTCATCCTGTGAAGATCCATCCTCTCTCCAGCGCCAGTACTGTTGTCTGTTCAACCTCGGGGGGGCAGTCTACGTGGCGGTAGGTAAACCCCAGAAAGGACTGAAGTGTGTGTGTGTGTGTATCTCTCTGTGTGTGTGTGTGTGTGTGTGTATCTCTGTGCAGCACGGCAGACTACTGGTGGTGGGTCCCCGTGGCGGGGCCGATGCTAGGGGGCGTTGTCGGGGCCCTGGTCTACTTCCTGTTTATCGAGATGCATCACAAACTGCCGGAGAAACCCCACGAGGAGGAAGATGAGGATGAGGAAGAGGAGGATGAAGACCTGGGAGGAGGACAGCAGTCCCAAAGACAAATACCATGAGTTAGAGAGATCCATTCAGTTACAAGGGCTATAAAAGCAAATGTGTCTGTCTGGGTCAGATCACTGGTACTGTAACGTCAATCAGGAGAGTAATGCCATGTGGGGAGACACACATACACACACACACACAGAGAACAAGGACAGGCTTGCTCTCTCAGTGTGTTATGGTGAACCTCGGGGGCAGTCTACGTGGCGGTAGGTAATCCCCAGAAAGGCCTGAAGTGCCTGGTGAGATGCCTGAAACAACAGAGGCTGTACGGCTGGACTGACGGCGATGGACACCTGTATTTTAACCTACTGTTCTATCCGAAGGCAGTCAGGCGCTATAGAAGGTATGCAGGCTATGAAGAGGTCTGCGTCGGCCTGTCATACAAAGTATCATGGTAGAAGAGGCCTCTTTTGTTTATTACTTTGTTTATTGAATCTATAATATTATTATTTGTATTGTACTTGACATCTAAAATAGTCCCCATTCATTCATTCATTCATTGACACAGGTTCAGCAGAGAGCCCAGTATCTTGGGTGATGCCCTGGTCAAGATGTCCTACTGCTTGCTGGGTCTGTCTGGGAGGACAAAGCAGCGGCTGCACATTCCTTCGCCCTCGCTGCCATTGCATACCAGGAGGCGGGCAGGAGGGATGATGCAGCGATGGCCCAGAGAGAGGCAGCCGGATACTCTATCCTGGGCGGGAAGGCATCTAAGAGACGGGTTATGCAGCTGCTGCAGGGTTGTCTTCAGGACTGTAGGGAGGGAGTCAGTTCTTCCCAGAGGTACAGGACTGATCACATGTTCCTCCATGTCTTCTTCTACAGGGAGTCAGTTCTTCCCAGAGGTACAGTACTGATCACATGTTCCTCCATGTCTTCTTCTACAGGGAGTCAGTTCTTCCAAGAGGTACAGTACTGATCACATGTTCCTCCATGTCTTCTTCTACAGGGAGTCAGTTCTTCCCAGAGATAGAGGACTGATCACATGTTCCTCCATGTCTTCTTCTACAGGGAGTAAGTTCTTCCAAGAGATAGAGGACTGATCACATGTTCCTCCATGTCTTCCATGTCTTCTTTGATTTATTTTCCTTCACCCTTTTCTATCAGGGTGTGACGTGCATAAATGAGAAAAATACCAGTCAAATACTGCATGTAATAAGGTTGTTCCTCTGATTCCCTCAGGGCAGCAGAGCCCTTTCAGAGGCTGCATGCCTGTTTGGCATGGAGGTCCTCACACTGGGACCAGTTTGGTCCTTCGAGGCGAATCACTGTGGTGCTATTAATGCGAGGAAATGGTGGATATTACATCTCCCACCCACAGCCTGAAATAAAACCTTAAACCCAAACCAATCCTCAACATGAATCATGATCATGGCAGCTGTTAGGTAACGGAGTTGATTGTTTTGCACATCCCTATAGGTGCCTCAGACCAGTTGAGAGGACAGGGGGAGGAGCCTGATTAACCTGGCCTATTTTTACAGTCACATGGACAACCACCAACCAGCTGCCCTGTGTCACAGGGAGGCTCTGGAGGCCTTCAGAAAAGCAGGTAGATAATCGGTATTACATTTACATTTTAGTCATTTAGCAGACGCTCTTATCCAGAGCGACTTACAGGAGCAATTAGGGTTAAGTACCTTGCTCAAGGGCACATCGACAGATTTTTCACCTAGTCTGCTCGGGGATTAGAACCAGCGACCTTTCGGTTACTGGGCACAACGCTCTTACCCAGGCCTAAAGTTACAAAGCTACTTTTACCAGGAGAACATTGGAGATAGAACATGTTTTTTTGTTGTTGCTTTGAAAATGAAAAGTGTTGTTTTCGCTCCACCTCTCCCAGGAGATGTTCAGGGCCAGAGGCTGACATGTGAAGGTCTGGGCTGGCGGCTATTCACTCCTGTCCGGGGGGACAGACCAGCAGCCTTCAACACCTCCAAAACGCAGTACTCTCTCAGTACTCTGCCTGGAGAACCAGAAGTAGCATGTTTATTATTAGCCCGGGTACCAGTCAGTTTGTGCTAATATTCCACTCCTTATTCTGTGTCATATGCCAAAACATATATGACAGAACGAGTCTAATTTCATACAAGCACATTTGTTTCCATGTTTCCTCTCTTGTTTCCTTGTTTCCATGTTTCCTCTCCTTGCCGCCGCTCCTCCAATACCTTTAACATTTTTCAAAAGCAGGCGAGGATGGAGGGGAGGACGCAAGTAGTCGAGGAAAACCAATTGAGATCCTCCCACAGGAGTACACAAAGTGGAATGTTAGCACAAAACAGGTCTGGGTTCCAGGCTAATTTGTTCTGTGGAATATGGCCAGACCAGCACAGCCTCCTTACACCAGTACAGTAGATACACAATGAACAGCTAGAGGCATTGCACTGCACTGCTGCTAGGCTGTTTATTGAACCGACTCAACTGTTGGTGGGTGAAAGTTCAGTCAGCGTGCACATGCCAACAGCCAATCACTGTATTGAGGATCTGTATTGACAAATCAATGACACACCATGTGTCCTGGTATGTGCCATCGCCCGGGGGTTTCCATTAGAAACCTACTGTATGGACACGATCCTATAGGTTTCTGTTACATCATGATTTACAATACATAGATAATGTACTTCATAAACTAGAATAACATCAGTGGGTAATAGCCTCTCTAAGGTATGGATATCTAGGAGATCGTGGTTTTAGGGTTGAAAGGATCTGGCCAGATGGCTCCCCCCAAAATAAAAGAATACAGCAAGACGGGCCAAAACGCCGATTGTATTCCCATTAAAAAAGACCTACAGTCCATTCTTGAATCGTGGAGAAATTACAATAGAACACCAATAGAAGAGCTGATTAACATTCTAAAAGAAAAGAAAAAACAGTGAATCCTGGATCCGGTCTTTTAATTAATGCATTTCAAGTACTCCCCCCAAAAAATTACATCTCTTTGCACAATACATTTTTTTTATTATTTTTTTGTAAAAATGTTCAAAGTGAACAAAAATGTTTGATACTGTATAAAACACAGTGAACATTGAAATCAGACAGTAGTTTACTTTTTAATCATCTTGTGTGTTCTTTCAGCCTGCATCTTCATTTCACCTAAAACATTTTCAACTCAATTTTGGACATTTCAGTGCATGTTTTATAATCTAGAAACTTTTTTTTTTTTTTTTTACCATGAAGACTACAAAATTAAATGAATTAAGTAAATTTACAGGCATCATTTCTTGTGCTGTTCTTCTTCTCTAACCCAGGAGAACAGACACAACGAAACAAGAATGAATTAAAATCTTAGTCCATCACAATTAATTTGTTAATATTGTCATGATGGTGGAGAAAAAAAAGTTGTACAAAATATTTAAAACGAATCTCATTCCAATTAGCACAGATAAGAACATAAATAACTCAGAAAAGGGAGGTTGGTAACACTTTATTTGAAGGGTACCTACATAAGTCGCTCTGGATAAGAGCGTCTGCTAAATGACCAATTTATTATTATTATTTATTATAAGGACTTTATAACATTTTAATAAACCATATACGTAAACGCATTCATAAAGAAGTGTGTAAGCATTTAATATGAATTGCGCTTATGAATGTGCAATGTATGGTTTATGAATGTTATATAATACTTATATAGGTACCCTTCAAATCCAGTGTTACTGAGAAGGGGTGGTTTTGTCACATACACTACATGGCCAAAAGTATGTGGACACATGCTCGTCGAACATCTCATGGGCATTAATATGGAACTGGTCCCCCCTTCGCTGCGATAACAGCCTCCACTCTTCTGGGAAGGCTTTCCACTAGACGTTGGAACATTGCTGTAGGGGACTTGCTTCCATTCAGCCACAAGAGCATTTGTGAGGTCGGGCACTGATGTTGGGCGACTAGGCCTGGCTTGCAGTCGGCGTTCCAATTCATCCCAAAGGTGTTCGATGGGGTTGAGGTCTGGGCTCTGTGCAGGCCAATCAAGTTCTTCCACACCGATCTCAACAAACCATTTCTGTATGGACCTCGCTTTGCTGAAAACAGGAAAGGGCCTTCCCCAAACTGTTGCCACAAAGTTGGAAGCACATAATGTTCTAGAATGTCATTGTATGGTGTAGCGTTAAGATTTCCCTTCACTGGAACTAAGGGGTCTAGCCCGAACCATGAAAAACAGCCCCAAAACATTAGTCCTCTTCCACCAAAACTTTACAGTTGTCACTACGCATTGGGGCAGGTAGCGTTCTCCTGGCAGCCGGCAAACCCAGATTAATCAGTCCCACTGCCAGATGGTGAAGTGTGATTTATCACTCCAGAGAACACGTTTCTACCACTTCTTCCAGAGTCCAATGGCGGTGAGCTTTACACTACTCCAGCCGACGCCGCTCGGCCATGGAAACCCATTTCATGAAGCTCCCGACGAACAGTTCTTGTGCTGACGTTGCTTCCAAAGGCAGTTTGGAACTCGGTAGCGAGTTTTGCAAGCGAGGACAGACAATTTTTACGCGCTACACGCTTCAGCACTCGGCAGTACCGTTCTGTGAGCTTGTGTGGCCTACCACTGCGCAGCTGAGCGTTGTTGCTCATAGACATTTCCACCTCACAATAACAGCACTTACAGATGACCAGGGCAGAGATGGCATCCTATGGAGATGGCATCCAGAGATGGCATCTTACAAAGATGGCATCCTATGACGGTGCCACGTTGAAAGTCACTGAGCTCTTCAGTAAGGCCATTCTACTGCCAATGTTTGTCTATGGAGATTGCATGGCGGTGTGCTTGATTTTATACACCTGTCAGCAACGGGTGTGGCTGAAATAGCAGAATCCACCAATTTGAAGGCGCGTCCACATACTTTTGTATATATAGTGTATGAACATCTCTGAAGTTTCTCTGGATTCAGAATACAATAAAAGTAACAGACGTATCAAAAATTTTAATTTTTATCTTCAAATAATAACTCTAAATTCTCCAAGTACTGTACAAGTTTAAAAGGAAATATGTCTAGGTTAGTGTACTGCGAGTGTACTG